CAGTCTGTGAACAGCATCTTTAACAGCTAGGATAATATTCTCTAATACGGGTATACATTTACATAACCAGCCACATGGTGTCCTGTTAGTTTTCACTGATGTTTTGCTATTTAAAAGAACCCACGAGGAATATTTGCATTCCCCCAAATTAGCTCCATGGGATGTGCTAGTAAGCAGACTGTGGCAAAAGTATTCCATGGTAGATAAATACATTTAGAGAAACCTTGATTAAAAAAAACATTGAGGGGTGCCTGGCTGGCTCAGTTGGGTGATCAAGTGTGACTCATGAATTTGAGCCCCACATTGGGTGTAGAGATTACTTAATAAAACTGGAAGGAAGGAAGGAAGGAGGAGGATGAGGGTGGGAGGGAGGAGGAGGAGGGAGGGAGTGGAGGAGGAGTGGTGAGAGGAGGGAGGAGGAAGGAATATGGAGGGAGGAAAGGAAGGAAGGAAGGCAGGAGGATGAGGAGTGGAATGAATGAGCTGAAGGAAATGGACAGAATGATCAAGACAGAGGAGGAGGAGGATGAAGGAGTGAAAGGGGAGGAATGGCGAAATGAATAATGGAAAATAGCCGAAGTGAAAAGGACGCATGACCTGGGACGGACAGACAGGAGGAAGGTTGGTTCAGTAGAGGTCTTTACAGTGATTTCTCAAAGCCTCAAATATGCTGCTTTGTGATGTGACCCTTCAAGAGGGTGCTGCTATGGTTTGCTTATACCTTTACTAAGCCTTGGGACATTACATCAGCTTTTCGGGGGTAGTGCTCTCAGGACTAGTGACCACAGAAGTCTCATGGGATACTAACCTATATGCAAAAGTTGTCTCAAATTTCAGCACATAGTTCCAGAAACTGAATTATCAAATTAACAGGAATGAATATGTTTATGTACTTGATGCACATTGCCAAATACCTTTCCCAAAGGTGAGTACATTGCCAATAGAAATATAAATTGTTACAGAGAGCTGTTGCCCCCACACCAGCTGTGATAGTGAATTGTTTAAATCTGATCTAATATGTGGTGTTTCTATGACTACAGAGAAGCTGAGCACTTTTCCATGTTTCTGGTTACTTACTGCTGCTTTTGTGAAAATCTTCTCTGGTCTTTAGCCTCTTTGTTGGGATCTTAGCTATTCTTATGAAGACAAATGGTCTATTTTTATTATCAGATATTAATGCAGAATTTCATATATTTGTAGCATTCTCCCAGTTTCTTGTTTATCAATTACTTTTTAGTTATGTTCTTTTAAAACATGTGGCACTTAATACATTTTTATAAATCCATTCTTTACAGCATTTCTTTTTGTAGTTTTTTGTTTTTGTTTTTTTTGGTTTTTTTTTGTTTTTTTTTTTTACTGTTTTTAAGCTTAGAAAGGCCTTTTATAAAGCTTTATCTAGACACTTAGTAATCACTTCTTGGTTTTTGGTTGTTATTGACATAAACTCTTAGCCTCCTTGGAATTTATATTGCTGCCCTCCCTGAAAAACAACTAAGCAAGATTTATAGCACTCTTTTCTGACTAATTTTCCGTCCCAAATTAATATATTATGCCCAGACAGTCTTTAATAATTGTTATGAAAAAGATAATTTGTCTCCATTTCTTAAATTAGCAAATTGAGATGAATGGCAATTTATTTATTAGTGGTCAGTTACCTTGGTCAGTTTCAGTCTTGAGACCAGCATGTATTGTGACATTAATGCGACAAAAACCATTACATTTACAAACTGGCTCAGACTTAATTTGATACTGTGACAAAAATTTTTTCCTCAAAGCTCATAGGAGAGATCACTAGAAAGTAAAAAAGACCTGGGGTGTTTTAAGAAATTTGAAAATTAAATGAAGAAAGGAAAGTCTGTTCATCTGTGTCAGTAATAAAAGCAGCCACTCTACCAACACCATGGGGTTTCATTCTTCCAGCCCGCTTTCTAGCTGAGGAAGCAGAGGCTGGGAGTTACTAACCACAAATGGGAGAGCAAGGAAGGGCAGAGCCAGGACTCCTTCCAGGGCTGTTTATCATCAGTCCTGCTCCAATCAGGGTCCAAGGAGATAGTCTTAGGACTCCCCAAAGGGCCCTCTCTTTTAGACAACATCTGTACTTTATCCAAGAATAAGAATCCTAGTGCACCACTCTGACGTTTATAGCGTAAGGTTAGCGTTAAGAACCACATCCCCGAAGTTGTGTAGGCAGGTAGCACCTGTAAATTCTCTCTCCTACAAGACTGAACTTGGGGGCCCTGAAGGGGAAGAAGTGTTTCTCTCTAGTGTGGGAACTAGGTGCTAGGGGATCACCTCAGGTGGGGCCGAAGGTAAGCCCCTCTTATCTGGGCAAGCCCCTTGGCTTGGCCAAAATGCCCGTCCGCGCCTGCTTTCCCAAATGTTCTTTGCCTGCAAGTTCATTCACGTGGAAGTTTCAGAGCAATTCCTCCTTCCTCCGAACCTGCGTTTTCAGGTTCTCAGGCTGCGTTAGTTCATTTGGGAAGCGCGCACGGTGCGGATGGTGAGCCAGCATCGCTGTGCAGAGACAAGCGCTCGTTTGTTCCCAGCGCAGCCCTGTGCCCTCCAGTTTACCGGCTTTGCGGCGACTGCGGCTGATCCTTTCTCAAGTCCCCCGGGAGCCACTTTTGTGGCAGCCTCCATTTGGCTTCACAGGGCCTCGAGGAGGGGCCGTGGGGGCCGCTTGGCATGGCCCAGCAGTCTCCCACGTTCAGAGCAATTTGCAAACTGCTCTCAGAGGGAGCCCGAGCCCAGCCCCGAACAGGCCGCTCCTGTTACCCCCATTGTCTGCGGGGATCGGGCGCCTTTCCCCAGCTGACCTGCCTGCGAGTGGCGAGATGTGAAAAGTTAGAGACAAAAAATGGTCTCTACAGACTGAGGGGGAGCTTTCTTGTACAGAAAGGAAGGAAATACCTCTGTGGGATTTTATTTTTTCTCCCCCCCCCCCACCCTCCCCTTCATCCAAAAAATACAAAGAGACTCTGTCTTTAATGCGAATGTCGGCTTTAAATCTTTTAGGTTTGGATTAACTCTGCAAAAGAAAAACAAAATCTGACAGGCTTTCAGATATGACGCAGAAAAACTTTTTTCCCCTCAATTCATGTTGTTCATTTGTAAAGCCAAAGGCTGGTGGACTGAATAGTGGGCGCTCCTTGTTCCCCATTCATAGTTAACATCACAATGGTCAGAATTAGCAGCCCAGAGTCTCCGCCACTTCTGCCTTTTCCACCAGCGACATTTAATACAAGGTGGCAAGGGCAAGCATAAATCTCTCTTCTTTGGCCCCTAAATTAAAATAGATTAAAATTAAGCCACGCAAACGAGGGCATTTTCCGTTACGCGACTTAGAATCTTAGCTACCTTTTCCCCACAGGAGGAAAAAGAAATGTGGTGGTTTTGGGGGTTGTTGTTGTTGTGGTTTTTTTTTTTTTTTTCTCGGTCCTTACCTCACTAAAAAGCTGCCTTCAATCTAAACAAATCCCACTGATTTGATAGACATTTCCTATTACATAGTAATTGTTGGTTTTCACTATAGACGATGTCAGCAAACATGTTGAAGATCATGTTTTGCTTATAAAATAAAGTGACTTTTATGTGAATATTTTTCGTCTTGTCGGTGTCTAGAATATAGGTGCTATTTCATTGAATCCACGTGGCCACATTTATTTTCTGAAATTCTTTTGTAATGCCGTGTTTTTATTTTGAACGTGCTCAGAGCTATTTAATCGTATATATGGGGAAAAAGAAACCATAGCATCCTTGAACTGACAGTCTATATCAATGAGCCCATGTTAATGCAAAAAAAAAAAAAAAAATTAAACATCAGTACCTGGTCTTTAGTTGAGGGTCGGAATGAATAGGTAATCTCAAACATAATCTAAAAGTAGTAATCTTTGTATTAGGTACGGACTGATTGATTAGGAATGTTAATATGTAATTGCATATTGGCCTGTAAGAATAAAACTCTAGATCATTTTTAAGTCCTGAGCCACACCTGGTTTAAAAAAAAATCCTTGTGAATTTGAGTAGAGTGCAAATGTACATGCATTAGTTGACTGCTTTTTAATGGAGTTCTGCCCATACATTTATGCACTTAAATAGGTACTGAAAACTTACTCTAGTAAACAGAGACTCAAAGTGAAACAAAGTATTTCTTTTGGTTTTACTGTATGGCATATTCCTTTTAAACTCTGTATAATCTAATTACATTACAAAGGGATTTTATTATAATTGCAAATAGCTAATAGGTTTATTAATTTTTTAAGCATAGAATCATTTTCTTTGCAACCCAAAAGGTTCTGATATAGCCATTTAGTATTTGATACAAAGGAATGATTATAAATATTTTTAATACACTTTTCTTTGAGTTTTACACAGTAGATATTTGGTTTGACTTTAGCAGTAACAGGACATATCAATGCAAGTTATGTAAATCTTTGAACAAAAATTAAGATTATTCTGCCTAATATCATAGATATCTTAATTTGATTATACCATATCATGATTTATCTGGATGATTTTTTAATGTAATATTTTACAAAAGCAAAGTTAATTTTTATTGGCCAGAAATAGTAAATTTAGTTTCTAACTAGGATTTATTTTACATGTTGTAGTATAAGAGAATTTAAGCCAGAGTATATTTGACGTTTGCTCCAAAAGATTGATTTTGATATTCTAAGTTATAAAAGAAGGTCAAAGTTTATTACTCCGCATAGTGACCACAGTAATAAAAATCTCACATAAAAGTATGAAAAGATTTGGCACATGGTAAAACCCTGCTATATTAGCTACTTGAGGGAGAAAAAAATAGATGTAGCAAAGACATGTTTTAACACATTTGGCTTTTGATTCCAGATTCTGCACAAGTTTGGATTTAGTTACTGTATATCCTCTTGCAGAATGAAATAATTTTAAATTATTTTACTTAAAATCATATAAAAATTAAACACGAGTGATGTATGTCTTAGTTTTTAAAGGAATGTTATTTCTGATGGTTTACCCAGGCTGCCATGTTGTTTAGCTCCGGAGTCTTTTGGATGGGCCTGTTGTTTATCCCTGTGGCGTCTCTGCTTCTTGATGTGGCCTACAAGGTGTAAGTATACTATTCGGCTGTGTACACAAAAGTATAGATGTGTGTTAACCCTCAGATTTCTCCAGTTGTAACATCAGCTCAATGATGTTAGTGAGAATTCGTGGTGTTAATTAGTTCTGCCTGATAAATAAAGAAGAAATGAGTGATTCAGAAATTAGAAAAGTAAGTTAAAGACTGAATAAGATGTAGAGCAAGTATTTTCTATTAATAGTAGACAGTACATTTTTAGAAATCAGCCAGAAAAAATCCAGGCAGAAGAAAAAATTCTGTTATCTCCAAACACATATATATTTTATTTATGAACAATAGTTGTGGGAAAAAAAGGTTTTTGCCTGCCTGTTTCAAAGCTTATATAAAATATAGAATGAAAGGAACTAAAACTGTACTCAATTTTCTCAACGATTATCAGTTTTAAAATGCTGTCTCTTCCCACAAAAAAAAAAAGATATCCCTAAAGTTAATTCTATGATGCTTATTTAATAACTCTGAGAGTTTTAACTTTTATAAACCTAAACCATTCCTTTTAAGACTGTTGTTTCTGTAATTGCATCATGCTCAAAATTACTGTAATTTTTAGATTCTTATTGAAAACTGGTTGCCTGTACTCTGATTACTGTTGTACCTAGCAGCACATTAATAAACCAGTTTTGTAAAGTGTGAAGTCTTCGTATGAAGATTTACATGCAAATCTTTTTTTTTTTTTTTTTTTTCCAGTATCAAGAGAACTGCTTTTAAAACATTGGTAGATGAAGTTCAGGAGCTGGAGGCAAAATCTCAAGACCCAGGGGCAGTTGTGCTTGGAAAGAGGTAAAAGACACACTAAATATGTTCTTTTCCAAGTGAACTTTTGTCTTTCATTCGTGGTTGGAAATAAGTGGTAAAACTTATATTTATGACTTTACATGGAACTAGCAGTGTGGATAGATTTCAGAATCAGAGGGATGCAGATTCAGTCAAATCTGTCACTCACTAAGCTATGTGTGACCTCAGCCAGGTCGCAAAATGCTCTTGAGCCTCAGTTTTCTCATCTAGAAAATGGGGGCAATATTACCTACCTCATGAATAGTTTTTAGAATTAAATAAGATCTAATTGATCAAGCAGGTAGCTTGGTGTGTGGTGCTTAATGAGCTTTAAATAAATGGTGGTTACAAATATTAGTGTGTTATTAAAATGAAAGGAAAAAAAGACTTTTAGCTTGACACTGTATCTGTAATAAAATAGCGTTTCAGGAAAATCAGAGCTTGACGTAGGGCAAAGTGCCCTACAGTAGCAGTAAGTGCTTATTAGGAACTGACCGTGGCATGGGTCATCTATGAAGTGAATTATGTGTTCCAAGTCCTTTCCTCAGCACCACTCCCTCAAAAGAGCAAGGTTAGACACCTAATCCAATGTACTAAATTCACAAAGCATTATAAGAAAGAGATTAAACTGATTTGAAAGCCATCTATAATAAAACACAATTACGAAGGTAATGCCAGGAATTTACTTTTTTCTTCCTTCTTCGCGCTAACATGAGCTCAAGTTGTGTCTACACCATAGGAACTGCTTTGCTCGGGTGTCTGTCGCTGTCATCACAATCCACTGTTGTTACCCAGTTTGACAGGATTAAGTAAGTGTCAGACTGGGAACTCAAGCTGAGACCTTGGCTTCCAGCCTGGGCTCACTCTCCTCAGGCCAGGAGGGCTCGTCACACACCCACCAGTCTGTGCCTCTCTAGCACAAGTCCTTGCACCGCCATTTGTGGAGCGCTCACTACATGCTAGGTGCTGCACTGATCGCTTCATATGCACTGTCACACTGGATCGCCGTGACAGTCCTGTACAAATTCGTCACCCTGGCGGCACCTGGCGGGGTG